AGAATGATTCCTCTAGATCAGCATTCTACGTACTAATTGATGGAAATTAATGTCAGAAAGTTAATAAGTATTGAAGGAAAAAACATTCCAGGGTCAAATAAATATTCTTGTTGATAATCACAGGCCACATCTAGCAGGAAAAATCCTATATTAAAGAATTTATTTAATTTTAACTTGCATTTCCTAAATTTATTTGACCATGGAAACTTTCCCCTCAGATAGTTTAAAAATTACAGACACACTAGTTCCACAATTCAGAGTTTGGGAAACAATGACCTAGTTACTTTCTTTTGTAAAAATTTAAGAGAATTAGAGAATTACTTTTATGAGAGTATTTGTAGGAAGTTAAAAGTGCTGAGGAAGAATGTGGACATTTAGTTTTTTAAGGCCAAAAGTTTCTGCTACCAGAGATACAGATATGTGGCATTCTGTAATGATCTCCTAAGAACAAATTTTAACACGTATGTATAACCAATACTGAATAAAGAATCCCAGAACTCTACAACATGTCTGCACTCATACTTTACAAAAAGGACACCATCACTCCCCTGGTTTTCCCTTTACATCATTGGCCACTCCTGCTTAGTTTCCTCTGCCAATAACTTTTCATCTCCTTAACCCTCTTGTCAGATTCCCCAGAGTTCAATCTGTGGACATTACCTTCTCTCTAGTTCTAGTATGTCCCTTGGTAATCTCATACAGTCCCACGACTTTTTTTAATTTAACATTTGTTTTGGGACAATTTTATATTCCATGTAGTTGTAAGAAACAACATAGAGACTCCATGCACCTTTTGTCCAGTTTGTGATAACATCTTATAAAATTATAGTGCAAAATCATAACCAAGATATTGACAGTGATATACCAATTTTATTCACATTTCCCTGGTTTTACTTGTATTCATTCCCATGACACTTAAAAATGTTCTGTGATATTTATAGCCTAGAACATTCCCCTAAGTTCATATAAGTGAATGACTATGGCATCTCCATTTGGGTATCTAACAGGCCTCTCAAACTGAAACATGCCCCAAGCCAAAGTCTTCTCTTCATCTTCCCTTCCAAATTTATTCTTCCCAGTCTTCCCCATCTCAATTAATATCAATACCATTTTCCCACTTGCTTAGATTAATAACTATGATGTCACTCTCAACATTTTATCTTATTTCACATTGACACTATCAACAAATTCAAAATATATAAAAAATCAAACCTCTATCACCCACACTGCTAGCTGCCTAGCCTAATCAATCCCCTGCCATCTCCCGCTAGAGTATTACAATAGCCCCCCAACTAATCTCCCTGATTTTGCCCTTGGTCTTCTATAGTTCATTTTCAAGACAGGGGCTAAAGTAATATAAGCACTCTTCTCTATTTATGGTTTTTTGTTGACTGTAGTTTTTACAGAGGCATACAAGACTCACTACTGAAAATCCTCTAATGAATGGCTTCTTATCTTAGAGTAAAAGCCAAATTCATACATGGCCCACATCACCTCACAGCCCCCATCTCCTACTATTCTCTCTTGCTCACTCATTTGTGGCCAACCCAGTTTCCTTGCAGTTCTTCAGGTCTTTACCCAGATGTCATGTCTCAGTGAGGCCTTCTCTGACTACCACGTTTTAAATGGAAGCATCCCAAATCTCAGCCTGTACTCCTTCTCCCCCTTCCCTACTTTATTTTCCTCTACAGTTCTGACCACAGTCTAACATACTGTGTATTTTATTTACTTTTTATTGTCTGTCTTTCAGCACTGAATAAAACATGAGCTCAAGGAGGAGAGATTTCAGACCATTTTTCTAGCACCTACAATGGTGCTAGGCACAAAGTAGATGTTCAAGAAATCACTGAATAAATGAGGCCTGAAGCAGCACAGTGTTTTGCCAAAATATGACCAAAATATGGCAAGAATCCTAAGTCTCTATAGTTTAGGAGTCATTTTTTCTAAGAATGGTAATGGATTCAAACAAAACCAACTTCACTTTTTATTTGGCAGTAACCAAAACCACAAATGCATGAAATGACAATTTCTGATCAGGTAAATAAACTTGATGGTAAGGAGGGATCAGACCCAGGCACCTGGGTGGCTCAGTGGGTTAAGTGACTGCCTTCAGCTCAGGTCGTGATCCCAGAGTTCTGGGATCTAGTCCCGCATTAGGCTCCAAGCTCCGCAGGCAGTCTACTTCTCCTTCTGACCTTCTACCCGCTCATGCTCTCTCTTACTTGCTCTCTCTCTCATATAAATAAATAAAATCTTAAAAAAAAAAAAGGAGGGATCAGACCCAAAATAAAACTCATCATCAGCACCAAATTAAAATTCAACCAACTACCTATTACAAGCAAATTTTGTACCAAATGCCTTAAGTGTTTTATTTATACCAACTTCTTAATAAGGAAGTTATATGTGATAGAACTTTTAAGAGTTTAAAATTTAAGAAAATGAACTTGATAATACTATAAAATAGAGTCCTGGGAAAGAACACAAACCAGTACTCCTATACTGTAGGAGTTCAACAAGAACGTAGTTTATCATATTTTTGAGCAAGGATTTATAAATGAAAAAGAAACTTCTGTTACAAATGGAAAGAAGTTGTTGCTTCTGGGCAAAATTTTAAAATATTCTTTAAAATTAGGTAGAAAGAGGGTGAATGGCAAAACATCCTAGAGATCAGGAAATAAAGATTAGTATATCACCAGGTCCACTTATTAAGAAACAAGCCACCTTGGGAGCTTTTGGAAAACCATTCATTTATAGTAATAAGTAGTTGGGAAATTTAAGACTAGTGGATTCAGCTTTTTTTTATTATTATTTGCAAGGAGCACATTACGTAATATGTAGTCATCAAAATTGGCTTTAAATTTCTTTCAAAGTAAAATTAAAGAAGTTCTGATTTTAGAGTAAAAAACATAACTGAGTCATACTTTTAGAGCCTGACTGTCCTCACAGCAGGTAAGATCACAAAAGGCATTTTGCTTGTCTTTAAGATTCAAGAAATTGGTATAGTATAGTGACCTTTCAATTGGTCTGGAGGAAAAAATATAAGGTGTATTAAGTAGATACAGCTTTCAGTTTGTAGGTCAAATAATAATAGGGCCTCCAGAAAACAATTAAAGCAATCCTCCTATTTATATGATAAACCTATAGCTTTTGTATGAATTCTTTATGAGTAAATAATTCCTGAGGCACTTAAACAATATAATATTTTATTAAAAGAAATTAATAGCATCAAAATTATTTAGTAGATCTATATTTAATGTAACTAAAACAAATGTCAAATTCTTAAAATACACATATGAGGATATATATACACATATATACACATCTGTATGTGTATATATATCTATATATATATATCACAACTACATTATTGGCCCCCATAATTTTTAATGTTACCTTTACCCAAAGAGACTACATTAATGATTAAGTGGCTATCATGTATCAGATGTACAAATATGTGACTTCAAAACTTGCTTTAAGGTCTGCAAGAAGAGGTTTTGCCAATTCTTTACATTTTAAAACCCATAATTATTAAGATAATATTGATAATAATAATCCCAAAGTAAGACAGAGGATATAATAATGTTGAATGGTCTGAATAACAGCCAAAATAAAAAACTATAAATAGGCAGCTATAAGGGAATCTGTAGAGTATCCCAAAGAATTTCTTGGAGTTCTTAACAAAACAAAGCAAACACTAAACAACAGTTTTAAAGAAAAGAATATAAAAATAGACATCATAAAATAGACATCAGTAAATTTGGAGAACATAAAACCAAGTTACCAAAATTAAATTTTTAAAATTCAAAAATCTGAGAATTGGTATTCCCAAAAAACTAGAAGGTTAGTACTGGGCAATACATTTTAAATGATAGAAAAATAACTGCAATTTGGAACATAATTTTAGAGACCTGTTGTTCCAAGGACATGAAAATAACCATGGTTTCCTAACAACCAGGGAGCTTTTGTATTTTTTGGACTGCATTCATGCTAGATGAAGATTAAAAGGCAGCAGCCAAAATGACTACACTTCAACTTGGATGTTGAAGCACTGATCTGATGGGGTTTTCTTGGCCACAAGTGACCCACAAGCTTAAGATCAAGAGCCAAAGCCCCCAGTGGGATGTTGTGCTCAATTTGGTGGGGCTTGAAACCATCTCTGGTTAAATCATCATCAGCCTGACGGGAGGCCAGCCATGAAGGAAGGGAGTCTCCCCAAAATCTGATTTCTTGAGACCACAACCTAGAGCAGGTCCCACAGTCAAATTATTCACATTCCTTGAAAAGAGAGAACAGGCATCAGTTGTGTCCGTCGAAGGGGGACACTGTCCAGGTGTACCCTGGACATTTTTTGAAATCTCTGGGCTGCCTCTGCATCTGAAAAATAAGAAAAATAGCACAATGACAGACAACGGATGAGGAAAAAGACAATCATCTGGCCTAAAAACTTAAGACTTATAAGAAATTAAGAAAGCAGACAAAACAAACAATTAGACAAACAGCCATATCATTTGGAATGTATTATTCTGAAGGCAAGTACAGCAGAGAAAAACAAAAATTATTTTAAGCAAAGTAAGAAATGACCATAGCAACAGAAGTTATTTTTGGAGAGAGCCAACTGGGGGGATAAAAAAACCAAAAAAACCATTAAAAAAAAATATGTTAAGATATGTCAACCTGACACAAAGATAAGGTGGAATAAGAATCTAGTCCCATTTGAAGCTGAAATTTGCTGAATAATGAGAGCTAGTGTCATGAACTTGGCTGCTTAACTGCCTTTGTGTAAGAAAACATCTCAGAACTTTGAACTTAGGAAATTCCAACTTGTCTTGCACCAGGTCACGAGCTCCAAAGAGCAGGAACCTATTTCAACAAGCAGCTTTAAAAAAAAAAAACAAACAAAATACTTTAATATTTTTCATTTCTTTTAATGATACATTTTAAAATGCAATAGTGCTAAAATCCACCAAAGTAAAATGCACTGAATTAAAAATTAAACTTACTCAGAAAGATGTTCAGAAGTTGGGATACAAACAGAAACTGAAATTAGAAGAAAAGTTTTATATTTAAAAGAGCACATGAGATATGATGAGTGAGAATAACGATTTAGTAAAGAGCTCATATTGTGGCTGACCAAAAATACTAGAATAAATATAAAAAATCCAAAGCAATACAATTATATATACATACCTTTCTCTAATACAACTTGACAAGTATGAGTTTCATGTTGACTTAAGTGTGTGGCCATAATATCTAAGCCAGAAACATCAGCTATGAAATCACAATTAAGGCACACTAGAGTAATGCCCCTATAAAAAAAAAAAGCAAATAGTATAAAAGAAAATGTTTTTACCTTTTATAAAAATCCATACACAAGTTCAATGATTTTTTTCTATAATTTGGTTTTTATGTCATAACTGTCACTCTCATTTTTGTTATAAAACTTGATATAACTGAAATGATTCTCTAGAAAATGAAATAGCCATATTCAAATTTATTTACAGAAAGTATTTTTGTTTTATAAACTTTTACCACTCATGCTAAAAACCAGGTGACAGGAGATCTACAGCCCAGCCCTGGCCTCACTAACAACTTGTGTCATTTCAACAAGTCACAATCGATCTGTGCCTCTGTTCATCTGTAGAGCAAGGATACAGTATTAATTCACTCAATATATATTTACTGAGGCTGCCTTTACATATATTGTACTATATATTGCATTGTGGTTATAATGATGACCAAAAAATACAGTCTGTGCTCTAACAGAACGTACAATCTAGTATTTTATTTAGGTAATGAAAAAATTAGAAGAGAAATGTTAATGATGATGATGTAGCTGCCATCAATTGTGTACCATGTGTTAAAGGTATTCCCATATATTTTTAGTTTAATTACTCTCATTATTCTCATTTAACACTGAATTAATGAAAGTAGTTAATTTAGTAATTACTAAAGTAGTTAATTCACTACAGAAGTCCAAAGCCTGGTCCTCAGCATACCAGCACAGTGAACTGGTCCACTGCTGGGGCCTAAATTCCTTGTTTCTTAACATAACTTCACTGAATGCTATAGTTCCTAAATGAAATCTCTAGTGATTATAAATTTTAAAAAATGTTTGGAAACAATTCCCACATTCAATAATTTGAATTCAGGAATAGTTTTTATACTCATTGGGTCAGAATCCGTAGCACTTGCTATTTGAAATATCAACTGACATATAGGATATAACAATGGCCTTCAGATTCTAATTTAAATTGTGTTTAAACTTTAGATTTTTTGTTGAAAGGTATTTAAAAATATTATTAACCCTGCAAAAATATGGAAATGTTTCAGAGAACTTAGAAAACCACTATATGTTTATTATATTTACTAGACTAAGTACTTTGAATCTTGTGAGTCAAGCATCTGAAATGCTGTTTAAAAGAAAATCAAAGGGGCGCCTGGGTGGCTCAGTGGGTTAAAGCCTCTGCCTTCGGCTCAGGTCATGATTCCAGGGTCCTGGGATCGAGCCCCGCATCGGGCTCTCTGCTCAGCAGGGAGCCTGCTTCCTCCCCTCTCTCTCTCTCTCTCTCTCTGCCTCTCTGCCTACTTGTGATCTCTGTCTGTCAAAATAAATAAATAAAATCTTTAAAAAAATAAAAATAAAAAAAAAATAAAAAAAAAATAAAAGAAAATCAAATATATTAAATGTATAAATGATGTTAAGCTGTTTAAGGAACTTGAATTGTAAATATTATTGTTTAAAAAATTTAGTCTATTTAACTTAAATGAACTTTTATCAAACATAATTAAAAGTCCTCTTGAACGCAACTATTAAAATGTACTACACATCTAAATGGAATATTTTTGAGTGAAATCTAAAAGCTTAATTTTAATAACTAATTATATAATCTTCTCTATTAACAAACTGCTCCTGCAGAAATCAAAAGTAGTCTCAATGGTTAAGTAGTAGCTAAATTACTATTCCACTAGTCATAGTTACTTGCACCAGGGATGGAGTGCCTAACTCATGCCTTCACTAAACAAGGATTTGTAAAATTGCAAATTTCTTGATCTGGAAAGATGTGGGAGACTGGGACTAGTATGTTCAAGTGATCAATAGAGAAAGCTGGTCCACACTAAAAAAGGAAAATGGAACCCAAGTCCAGAGAAAATAATAAAGACAAGATCATCCTGCCTCAGCAGGTCAGACTAGAGAGAAGCCATGTTACTAAATGATCCTATTTCCCTTATTTGTTCTGGTTGCACCTCCTCCTCTTAGGGGTCCATGAGATTCTTTGGAATCCTGCTTAAAAGTTATTTTTGCTTAGGTGAAAAAAAAAATAGACCATGTAATGTGATCATTGTTACTGTCAACTTATTAACAGAACACAAATATGGTTTTGAAGTTCATCACATGCTTTAAAATTTAAAAGTTTTGGCAATACACAAAATACAAGCGAGTAACATACCTTAGATTGACTTCTCCCCTACAGCTCTAGTCTAAGTGTGCTGTGTATCTACGCTTAGATGCCACATTAGCACAACAAAACTGACCTACATTAAACTAAAATCATGTACTTCCTTCCCAAATCACCTATTCCTAGCTGGTCTTTCTTATGATAGTAAAGCTCAAACTATAGTTATCCGTCTCTTCTTCCTTAAAATAATCGGTATGACAAGCATTTGATAATATTTATTACTTACATTGTTCCAGTCTAAGAATTGTAGATGTATCATCTTATCTAAGTATTTTAACAACTCAGAACACCTGGGTGGCTCAGCTGGTTGAGTGTCCAGCTCTTGGTTTTGGCTCAGGTCATGATCTCACAGGTTGTGGGATGGAGCCCTGCACGGGGCTGTGCTCAGCCGGGAGTCTGCTTGGGGGATTTTTTCCCTCTGCCCCTCGCCCCACTCGCATTTTCTCTCTCTCTCTCAAATAAATAGCTAAATCTTAAATAAATAAATAAATAAATAAATAAATATTGTAATGACCCAAAAAGGTAGTCGCTATAATTTATCACCTTTTTATAAAGTTAGCTTAGTAAACTACCAAGGACACAGGACTTGGTTTGAAACTGAACACTTTGATTCTAGACCCTATATTCTTAAAGATGATATAATACTGCCTCATTTTAACTTAGGTCCTAACTAAATTATTCATAACAATCTGTTCATAACCACAATAGTTCTAATCTATAGGATTCATGCATCTATAACTCACCCTACTATTGAAACTTCCTTCACGATCACCTGATTCTATATAAGATATCAAAGGTTCTCTAATGCTCTGCAAATTAAGTCCAAACTACTTAACTTTATTTTCAACACTTTCGCAATCTAGCTCTAAGCTTAAAACTATTCCTCTAGACTTCAGATGGAACTTTGTGCTCCATCCATTTACTACTAGCCATTCCCTCTGTATGCCTTCTACTTTTTCATTTCTGCACCTTTATTCACGCTATTTCTTTTAACTCAAATGACTCTGTGCATCTTTTTTCAGTTTAAATAATGTTCATTCTTTAAAACCAAGTATACCTAACAGCTATGCAGATCATTCCAAGTTATCTCTCTCCCCTTCCGCACTTACTAAAAGTTGTCCTTGCTTTATTATAGTTTTGTACATTCACCCCTTATCTCCCACCCAATAAACTATACATTCTCTGAAGGTTGGTTTCAAGACTTATTCATCACTCTCATCTTCATAAGACCTGCTATATTGTGTACCTGACAGATGTATAATAAATAGTCAAAGAATGAATATTCCATTCCAACAAGAGTAATCACAAAAATTATTGTTCTATAATTTTAAGTATGCTATGTCCATTCATAGAAATTGACCAGTTTTTTATTTTAGACCTAATCCAGTTGAAAGAGAAGTATTCCAGATCTTTAAAATCATATAATTCATTTAAAAAACAAACATAACTGAGCTTGACAACAGTAAGGTTAAAATCAAACCAAAATCTCATCTTTTGAAAAAACCCTTTTTAGTCTTTTTTTTTTTTTTAAGATTTTATTTAATTGAGAGAGAGAGAGAGATCACAAGTAGGCAGAGCAGCAGGCAGAAAGAGAGGGGGAAGCAGGCTCCCCGCTGAGCAGAGAGCCCGACATGGGGTTTGATCCCAGGACCCCAAAATCATGACCTGAGCTGAAGGCAGAGGCCCAACCCACTGAGTCACGCAGGCACTCCAACCCTTTTTATTCTTATAAAAATTTTCAGTAAAGGCAACATCTAATATAATCTTAACCCATTTCCTTGAATTCAGTAAATGTCTTAAAATTTATACTAATATTTTTTAATACTAAATCAAAATTTTCTCTCCCTGTGAGCTACAGATCCCTATGAGCTATATCATAGATGGGACCTACAGTTTATATAAGTCATTTTCAACATATACATTAACTTATTCAGTGAATATTTACTGAGTGCCTACCACGTGCCAGGCACTAGTCAATGCCTGGCAGAGACAAAAATCCAAACTATGTGTATATTCTAGTGAGAGGACACAGAAAAATTTAAAAGGTAAAGTATACAGTATGTCAGATGATGAAAGATGATCTGGATAAAAATGTAGAATAAAAAGGAGATAGGAAGTGCTGGGATGAAGCACAGGGGAGAAGATACAATGTAAAAATCAAGTGGTCAAGGAAAAGGTCACTCTGATCAGAGTAGCAGCCCAATGTAGATAAAGGAAGACATACAGAAATCTGGGGAACAAAACTAGTCACAGGGACTAATACGTACAAAGGTCCTGAAAAATAACATCATCCCTTTCCCACTTTTTCTAGCAACTCAAAGCATGAAAACAAGTACTGGTAATCTTATCTCTATATATTAGCTTGGTATAGCAAAGACACTGACATTTCAAGTAGCAATGGCAACATGAACAATATAAAGAACAACAGAGTCCAAAGAATTCAGAAGAATATTTTAAAAATGGTGCTCAGTGGATTCTGAGTTTAGCATGTGGTACAAAGTTAAGTATCAATGTCTTTAGAAATATTCATCAATACCTCTTCCTGCACAGTACACAAGTTGTTCATCTCGCTTTATTTGAGAAAGGAAAAATAAGGATTATTAAACTACCTAATAATTTCAAGAATTTCAGGGTTTTTTTTAAGATTTTATTTATTTGACAGAGAGAAATCACAAGTAGGCAGAGAAGCAGGCAGAGAAAGAAAGGGAAGCAGGCTCCCTGCTGAGAGAGAGCCCGATGCAGGACTCGATCCCAGGACCGTGAGATCATGACCTGAGCCAAAGGCAGAGGTTTAACCCACTGAGCCACCCAGGTGCCCCAAGCATTTCAGTGGTTTGAGAAATGTACTTCAAAAGTAAAAAAAAAAAAGTATTAGTCATTTTACTAGGTATCTTAGGTATCTTTTTAATATTCAAATATTGTTGGAGAGCCTTATTTTTGTTCTCACTACACAATATAAACGCACAAAGATATCTTGACACCACTTGTCGCCAGTGAAATTTAGCAAGAGAAAATAGGTTAATCATACCTCTAGTCTAAGGATATAATGGATAGAACTTTCTAACATCCAGTAGCAATCGTTTAGATTTCCAAATTGGGCTTCCCAACATCAAGTTTTTAAAAAATTAGAACAAACCACAGAAAGATAATACTTCACACCCATCAGGATGGCTGTAATCAAAAAGATAGGGGTGCTTGGGTGGTTCAGTCAGTTAAGTATCTGCCTCTGGCTCAGGTCATGATCCAAAGGTCCTGGGATTGGGTCCCAAATTGGGCTCCCTGCTCAGCAGGGAGTCTTGCTTCTCTCTCTCTCTCTCTGCACCTAACCCCACTTTTGCTATCTCTCTCTCTCAAATAAATAAATAAAATCTTAAAAAAACAAACAAAACAAAACAGGTAATAACTAGTGTTGGCAAAGATGTGAAGAAACTGGAACCCTCGCACACTGCTTGTAGGAATGTAGTGGAGGTACTTTGTAAAACAGGTTGGCAGGTCCTCAAAGGCTCAACATAGAGTTAGTTACCATATAACCCAGAAATCCTAATCTTACATATATACACAAGAAAAATGAAAAGACAATTCCAGACAAAAACCTGCATACAAATGCTTATAGCAGCAATATTTATAATGGCTTCAAAGTTAAAATAACCTTAACAGATAAACTATGGTAGATCTATACAATGGGATATTATTCAGCAATAAAAAATGGAAGTACTGACATGTTACTACATGCATGAATCTTGAAAATATGCTAAGTGAAAGAAGCTAGTCACAAAGGATCATATATTGTATCATTCCATCTATATGAAATGTCCACAATACATAAATCCATACAAACAAAAATTAGTGGTTGCTTAGGGATGGGAAGAGTTGGAAGGAAATGGGGATGATCGTTAATTGAGTACAAGAGTTTCTTTTTGGAGTGATGACAATGTACTAAATTAACTGTGGTGATGGCTGGACAGTTCTGTAAATATACTAAAAACTATTCATTATACAATTTAAAGCATGAATTAAATGGGATATGAACTATATCTCAATAAAGATGTCATATATATACAATTTAAGTTATAAAGTTTTTCAATAAAAATAATTTAAGTCCAGCTAATTACCTGAGATCTTCTGAATGCTTCTTAAAAATACAAAACCTTTTACTTGGACGGTTACTATGAAAGCTGGAGAGACAAAACAGATTTTATTAATTTTATTATACAGAAAGCCTTACTAATTTATAGCTTTATTACAAAGTTTGTACTTAAAAAAGTTTCTAGTTTTATGTAAAAGATCATGATATAAACAATAAAATAATGCTTGCCATCCCTGTTTAACTCAAGTTTTATCTTAAATTCCACTTTATCCTTTTATTTTCTAATGACACACATTTCTCTAAGTATATTCTTATAAGAGCAGTACCTCACCATTATATAAAAAAGGAAATACTTAAAAATTTTCTTTAAAAAGCAAAATAACTCAAACTAATTTTTTTCATCTGTTAAGGAAGAGTTGAAGACACTTTCAAACTTCTACAAGTAACATGAATCTTTACCAATCATCATTTTTTAAAAATCATTTCCAATCTTAACATGCCTATGTCAAGGTAGGGGGAATAAAATCCAAATGATCTTTGAAGTAAATAGTACTTCAGCTAACTGCTACTGTTTACCATTTGTAAAACTGAACATTTAGAGAGTTCTTTCCAATTACTAGTAGAAGTTCTGTAAAAAACAAACAAAAGCAGAACTCTTAAGCTAAAATAATGCTTCCCCTAAACACAAAACAGAGACCCTCTAACTAAACTTTGTAGCCAATGATAATAGCTTTCATATACCTTTTTAAATCTGTTAAAGAAAGCTTTCCTGTATTAGAAACCCAGGATTAGCTTTATTTAGCACAGTATTACTCAAAGTGGAGTCACAGACTAGTAACATCAGCCTTACTTAGGAGCTTATTTAGAAATGCAAAGTCTTATGTCCTCTACAAACCTAACTGAATTAATCCCTGGTAGTGGGGCCCACCAGAACATGTTTTAACAAGTTTCTCCAGTAATTCTTAGGGCAAGCTAAAGATTGAGAAGTAGTAGCCCTAGTTTGCACTGATAGATTCAAAGTAGCCAACACACCAAATCAATGGTCACTCTCAGATACAAGGTAACCATCATCAACACAGCACGTATGTATGAGAAAATAAATACTGTGACTAGCTATAATCCCCAGAAAGTGTCCTCAGAAGACTTCTAACAGTCATTTCTTCAATTTGGGGATAAATACTATTAAGGAATTTACAAATATAAGACAACATCACAAAAATAATAATTAGGTTTTTTTTAAGAAGAGAACATCAGGAGTTAGGAAACACTGAAATTACATGCAAAAATTTGTGCCCATAACTGTTTCTCCAGAGGAATAAATCCAAGATTTTATCTGATACCCAAAGAATGTGAGCCAAAAGAAGTTATTTTTTAAATGAGATTTTAAAAGTTACTTTTAAAGCTATTTTTTCTTTTTCTTTAGACAGACTATTTTGGTTGTTTTGGTAAGAGGAGAGAAAAAAAATTACATTTTAGGGTCTTTGATGGCTTCCATTCTGCCTACAACTGGTAACTTATTAAAATGCTGGCATTTTGGGGAGCCTGGGTGGCTCAGTTGGTTAAGCGACTGCCTTCAGCTCAGGTTCATGATCATGGAGTCCCGGGATCGAGTCCCCCATCAGGCTCACTACTCGGCAGGGAGTCTGCTTCTCCCTCTGACCCTCCCCCTTCTCATGCTCTCTCTCTCTCAAATAAATAAATAAAATCTTTTAAAAAAATAAAATGTTGGTATTTTAAAATTCAGTTGTCCGAACCCAGTTTATAAAAAAAAAATTATAGTACCCCTTTACTTGTATTTGCTATACAAATTCCATCCTTTTATTATTATTCTTTTTTTTTTTTTAAAGATTTTATTTATTTATTTGACAGAGAGAGATCACAAGTAGACAGAGAAGCAGGCAGAGAGAGAGAGGGAAGCAGACTCCCTGCTGAGCAGGGAGCCCGATGCGGGACTCGATCCCAGGACCCTGAGATCATGACCTGAGCCGAAGGCAGCGGCTTAACCCACTGAGCCACCCAGGCGCCCCTTTTTATTATTATTCTATAGCAAGGAAAAAGTGGTTCTATAGCTCACAAATAAGAAGGAAAAAAATTCTCCTACTTCCTATTAGATCTGCATAAAATTAATAACAATATAGATATAAATTTAAAAAAGAAAAAAGGTTATGATTTTAAAAACAATACAGTAAAAACATGTTAAAATTTAGGTTTTAAAAATTCACCATCTGGTTATATGACTATATAATTATCAAAACTCATTTAGCTATTCTCTAAACATAGGTTAATTTCATTGTGTATAAATTATACCTTAGTAAGACCAAAAGGAAAAAATCCCTTTGATCATATTTTAATTCAGTACAATTAACAACTTTGTTTCTGATGAAACAAACATCAACAATATTGATGGTATGCCTCCTGTTTAAGACATTATACCAGAGATTGAAGATACAAAAAAGAAAGAGGGCAAGCTGTCAAGGTCCAGGGGTGAGTGGGGGAAGAGAGAAACGTCCAACAGCAGCTGGCACAGAATAAATACCTAATAAATGCTTTTAAAATAAATGAATACATATTCATAAATAATCATAAGATAAATGTTAACAGTGACACATATGAAGTTTTGTGGCTGCATGAAGGAAAACTGCAGGTAAATGGACTAGAAGCCAACTAGTAATCAGGAGTTCATTTCAGTTAAGATGGTCACTCTATGCTATGAGCTGTGTTAAGACTGATGATTCAAAGACCTGTACCCCCGAAGCAAATAATACATTATATGCTAATTAAAAAAAAAAAAAAAGAAGAAGGTCACTCTACTGCCTTACTCCAGGCAAAGCAAACAGCAAGATACAGAGGGATTTTCAAGAAAATAAGCACTAAAGGGGCTGGAAAAGTAGTCAAAAATTAAATATTGTAAGGTCTTATACTCTTCAGAATATTTGAACTTCATGACTATTAATGTTAGGAAGGCAAAGGATTTTAGGCCAAAAATGACCTGACCAGACATGCCTACTATAGTATCAAAAGAAAGGAAGAACTGGGGAAGTGGGGGGGTAGGGACTGCAGGTAGGATGTCAGTTATGCTATCACAATAATCCAACAATTCTTCTAATGACTATTCCTTAATGCAAATAAATCTATACAAAATATATCATGAACTCAAGCGTATCTTCTAAAAATCAATTCAGTGCTCTGTCTTATCCATTGTATAGGAACTAACTGTTATACCAGCTTTCTTTTTCCTTGGAAAAATTTTAAAACACCCTTCAAAGCCTTTGTGAAATGTCATTTATAGAATACCTCCCCTTATTTCCTGTTTAAAGAACTCATTCTTACTTTCTCTGTGCTCTCATAGTCATTTGTTTACTATCTTAAGCTAGGTAAATATCATCTCTCCTACTAAATTGTGAAAATTAGAAGCAAGTACTTTATCCACAATACATAATAATGACAACCTAGAAATGATAACAGCTATAATTACTTGAGTATCTCCTAAGTAAAAATCATTTTGTTAAGCACTTTAAGTACATTTTGTAATTATCACAATGACTTTCTTTTTGAGAAAAGGAAACTGGGAGTCAGGTTAAGTAACTTGCCCAAAGTCACAGAAGTAATAAATAAGTGGTGAAGCTTGGATTCAAATCCAGATTTGTCTGATTCTTCACCACCAGCTTGCCATACTTCTTACTTAGCAAACAGTAAATGCTGTTAGAAAAAGAGATATTAAATACTTATGTCTGTTAAATTAATTCTATTACATGTAGGAAAAGCCTTTCTTATACATCGTATTGAGGAATATCAACAATATTATATGGTAATTTGTTTCCTTTTTTTCCAGGTGACTTCTATGGCCACCTGAAGGCTGTAAGCAAATAAGATGCAGTAATTTAAACAACCAAATCCAAATAAGACTACTTAAAAAAAAAAATCACTTAAAATTACATGTTTAATAATGCTCTTCTTCAAGTCTTATTCCAAAAAGGTTCCAATGCATCAAGATTTTTTAATACCCTCTTTCAAGATTTTATTTAGAGCCCTTTAAAATTACAAATAATGACTTGCTATTTGTAATTTGCTAGGTGCATGGAAAATACAAATAGCCCCTTCTTCTCAAGGAAATAATACAGACACAAACAAATATAATAAAAGGCAAAATAAGTGAATCATACACAGCTCAAAGTGAAAAATAATCTCTGTGAGTGGCTGTGGTGATCAGACACTCCAAAAAAGTGGGGAGCCTGCTTCCTCCTCTCTCTGCCTGCCTCTCTGCCTACTTGTGATCTCTGTCAAATAAATAAATGAAATCTTTTTAAAAAATGAGTTATGCAATAAACTTTATTCTGGGGAAGAGTAGTCAGTTTATGGGCATGGGGCAAAAAAAAAAAAAAAAAAAAAAAAAAAGACCAGAGGGAAAGAGACCAACTGAGAGTACAGAGATGGTATAGGATAGAGATTAAAGGTACTCATCGTTAAGAGAAAATGAAGCTCCTATACATACAGAACTCAACCTATAATATGAATCCATACTGGGCAGAGATAATCGTGGCCATTCAATGGACAATACCTAAGACAGTGAAGGAGGCAAGTGTACCAGCAGATAAAAAGGAAAAGAGACCTACCACACCCTAAGAATGGCAATGGAAGCTTTCAGTTCCTAAGAGGCTAACAATGAGTAAGAGCTCAGTGTGTGAAGTCAACGAAGATCAGGGTTGTGGCTCACTGGGAATTGGAAAAAGGATATGGAGGGAGGTGGGCTAATTGGCAATGTTCTGGAATAGAATGGATTTGAAGGTTCTGTAGGACAGGTGGGAAGCCTATGATAAATGGGAGAGGGAAAGGTGAAATGACCCTTGCTTTAATAAAACAGGAAACATTTTCCAATTTGACCCCCTACAAATTAAGGGCAGAATTAAAGCCTCATGCAGGCAACCATGTATTTGTCACAGAAAGAAGAAACGTTCCACACAGCAGTATATTGGGGGAAAGGATGCCTGGGGCCTGGTTTAGAGGAATGAAATATAGGTGTAGACCACTGCAATAGTAGTGAAGCAGAGTAGCAGACAACACAAAGGAGAGTCTCAGAAAACCATAATGCACAGTGACTGATCAAGAGAACTTCATGGGCTTAAGAAACTTGGGATAGTAAACTATTTCCAGCAGGTGTTCCACATTCACAGAAATGATGCCCTGAAAGAGTATCTGGGTGGTCGTTGTGTGAATTCTGGACAGATGATAATGTTTGGCTCATCTGTGTTCTTTTTAGAATCTAGTGAGTCAAAAGTAAAAAAATATATATAAAGTAATTAGAAATACAGAGTTGGATCTCATGAAGACTAAGGATTAAAATTGGAAGACTTAAAGTTGAAAGGTAAAAGTGACAGTAGTTGAGTTACCCAAAAAAAAAAAAAAAAAGGAAATGTAAAGCAGCAAGATGAGTTAAAGGAAGAAAAGGCAAAGAAACAGAGTAGCCAAAAAGGAAGAAAAAAAGATAATGGTAACAGTTTAATAGAAGCTGAAGAGGAGACTTTCACAAGTGAGTGAGGACAACTTCAAATACTCTAAAGAAGTCATGGAGTAGCAAGAGCAAAAAAAAGTGAATAAACATGGTGATAAATAATCTTTAAAGGAGCACTGCTAATGGGTAGATGGGGATGATATTCAAAAGGTAGAGAGAAATGAGTAACAAATAAGCTAGTAAACACTTTTTTTTTTTTTTAAAGTAGGCTCCATGCCTAGAGTAGAGCCCAACACAGCGCTAAACTCAGGTTGAGGTCCTGAGACTGAGTCCTAAGCTGACATTAAGAATCAGACACTTGACCAAGCTAGCCACCCATGTGCCCCATTACAAACACTCATGGTAAAAGGAAGACAAAAAATAAGGACAATATTTAGTAGGGATAAATTTCCCTTGTCTTAAAAAAATTATCTGAAAATGTTTGTAAGTAGAAGGAATCTGGGAGAGAGAAGAATTGAAGTTGCAAGTTAACTGAATAAGACTGTGTAAGAACTAGAGGAGACCACAGACAGGGTTAGTTTTGAAGAAGTGGAACATATATGATTTCTGAGATCAATGCAGAATAAAAGTAACAAGAAAAACATTTGACGTTTTAAAGATTATTTAAAAGGATGACTTCCAACTGAGTACTTCCTAGCAGGCCAGGTTAACAGCTAAGAGACTACAGTAAAATCTCCAGACAACTGGAGAGAAGTTTAAATAAACACTATAGATAAAATACTACATCAAAAATGAATGATGTACTTTATGTTGGCTAACTGACTATAATAAAAATTTTAAAAACCCTACAAAAGCATTAAAAATTAAAAAATAAATAAAGAAGTATTTTAAAATAAAAAGATAAGACCAGTCAAAGTTAAAAACCACAAAGTCAGAGGTGATTGAATCAAACACCGGTTGAGTAGTCTAGAACTGAGCATAAACTTCAGCAGAGGAAGATGTTTCAGTCTCATGTTGGGTTTTATGCCAAGTGAGCATGACTAAAATTGTAAAGGATTCTAGAACAAAAACAAAGCAGCAACCAAAACAGATGACTCTGAGAGTGAGGTTGACTATAAAGTGAAATAGGTGCTACTGGTCTAGAAAAAGGAGTCAAAGTCCTAAAAACTCAAAAGGGAGTTACCCGTACAGGGTAATGGGAATTGAAAAGAAAGTATGTATGATGAGATTAAAAGTGGTACTGTGGTATAAGAAAGGGGGTATAATGATGGGTGTTAAGAAGGGCATGTATTGCATGGAGCACTGGGTGTTACACAGAAACAATGTATCATGGAACAGTACATCAAAAACTAATGATGGACTGTACACAATAAAAAATTTTTTTAAAAGGGGGGGCTACAATAACTTAACGGTTGATGTGAAGCACTGGCACTGAAGAAGTACAAGTACCTGAGGTCAGGCTATTAAGGGGGAAATAACAAATGAGAGACGTGATAAGCCATCAAGAAAGGTGGGCAAATCCTTGAAAACCATAGCTGATAAGCGACCAAAAAGTAACATAGAGGTCATTTTATGATCTGTAAGAAAATAACTTTTATACTTCAATTTCTAACTTAAAAAAAAAAAAAAAAAAAAGGAACCATCTCACTTTGCATAACAACGTAACTGCTCTATATCTAAACAATTTTTGGCTATTTTTAAGAAAATAAAAATCCATCCTAAGGGATGCCTCTATTAATGAGATACAAATGAGAGCAATGTGGGCTGTGAAGGATTTCTCTACATAAAGCAAATATTAAGTACTCAAATAACCTAAGTTGAATGAACTTAAAAAAAGAATTCCAACAGTGGCCTAATGACTGGAATAGTTTCTCATTCCACTGAAGGATAGATGGTTTGATGGATAGACGGACAGAGACAATGGCTTACAGAAAGAGAAAAAAACAGACCTAATTACGTTCCTAACATCACCGGAAACCCTAGAGTCTCTCAAAGTAACTGCTTTGAAAAGAATAATATTCATGAGATTATATGGATTTGTTTGGTAAATATATTTAAAACACTTGATTTTCTATACTTGAAAATGACCATTTAAAAAATTCTATAGAAAAAAAATACCCATAGAGAAACCATTTCCCTAACAAACCTAACCTAATTTCTTAGTCTAACTATTCTTGCAATTTTAGTTCAAATAATTTTATGAGTTATGATGCTGGAAAAATAGTACCAGGCATTATTCTAAAATGTTCACTATAACTAGACATTTAGCTCCTTAAAGAGAAAAACTGGCTTCTAAAAGGATAACTGCTTTGTTTTGTTTTGTTAAGATTTTATTTATTTATTTGAGAGAGAATGAGTGAGACAGAGTATGAAAGAGAAGGTCAGAGGGAGAAGCAGACTCCCCAAGGAGCAGGGAGCACGATGCGGGACTCGATCCCGGAAGTCCGGGATCATAACCTGAGCCGAAGGCAGTGGCTCAACCAACTGAGCCACCCAAGCGCCCTAAAAGGATAACTGTTTTAAAACAAACCTTCTGAACTACAATTTTAATTGGTAATTACAGATGTTTAACTCATCTTACCTCATCATATGATTTACATAGGCTTTGCTACAGCTAGTGTTGTATCTGCAAAAACTACAATGGACATACGTAGGAAAGTGATTTGCAAAATCTTTTATTTCGGAACAACACTCAATGCACTTGTGAACTCCCCGACGATACCTTATGGAGATATAAAGAAAATGATAAAAATATATTTTAAGACAAAAATAATAAGGAAGGGCCTTATTAATATTTTGTTAATTAAGGACAAGATGTTTAAATGAACATGCTTAAACAGTTATAATTTGAAAATCTGTTATGGAACAACAGCTAGAGTAAGTGTAAACAATCTAACGTATGTGTTTTCCACTGGCATAAAAGGAATTAAATTAAGCAACACAAACATCACAAGACCTAAGCACAACACATAATAATACCAGTATAATAAATGAATATTATAAAAAAAAATTCAAGTACTGTCCAATAATTGTAAGAAAATACCTTTTTATTATTTGCTTGGCCTTTATGTCATAGTGATAGCATATAAATGTACAAGAGAGTTGTGTAATAGGGTAAATTTATATTAAATAAAGTTTTTATACTTAAGATTAAATTAGTGTTATATATGAGGAATAAAAGATTACCTTAAGTTCCTCAATGCTGTATTGACTTTACTTTTTTTATTGCTACTAGCCAATGTGCTTTGTTTCTTTTGCATATTAGAGATTTTTGATTTATATTTAGATTTACTTCCATTAGGCTTACTTGCATTAGGTTTACTTGTATTGGATTTAGTTGGATTAGGTTTGCTTGTGTTAGATTTTGTGGGATTTTTAGCAATTATATTTTTAGTCCTTGGAGGTGAGAGCTGAAGGGTAGACGTGCTTGCACTAATGGAAGGTGTAGTTGAAGATCCTGACTGAAGCGGTCCAACTGAAGCTCGAATAGTAACCTACAAAAATGGAGACAATGTTTGCTTTAGAAAATTAATCATGGCATTAGTATTGAAATATCACTGTATAACAAAAAGTTGAACATCAAGTATTTGGAAAGGGCAAGGATAAACTATAACTGGATAAGTATTTCATTTATTCTAAATTTTCATCCCAATTAAATGAAATTAAACTTAATATTTATTCACTTGTAATATTACATTTTTTGTATTGATATCAGTCATGTTAACAGTTATTAATATATAATTAGGAGTTAATGCAAATTATATGACTATTAAAAGAGCACATTCCATAGCTATTTTTATGCTCTGATATAATTCAAATAATTCACAGAGATCAAAATTTAAATCTCAGAGCCCAAAAAATAATTCTAGAAACGCCTGCATTACCCCTCAAAAACTATAAAACAAAAAGATCTAGAGTAAACATGACCTCCTCTTTCCAGGGGCTCATTAGGCAGGATTTATCTATACATAGGTTATGGGAGAGGTTACATCAATCAATTCATTATACTGATGGAGAGTTTAATAATATTTAGAATTTCCTTAAAGAGAACTAATATAAAGTTTATCATTTAGTATCCAGAAATTGTATTTTTTGGTTGGCAATAAAAAACAATTGCCTACCAACATTCTCATTGATCATTAAACTATACCTCTCCCATGTATTTGTCCTATGGAATACATGTGTTTTGGTATCACTCAAAAGCACTGGACTAGGAATCAAAAGACTTGAGTTTAAATCTCATACCATGCCTTCCTAGCCATGTGACCTTGAATAAGTAACTTTTCTTCTTTATCTATAATATGGGGCAATAACTGTCTTGCCTTCCTCACTGGGTTGCTGTATGGATTAAATAATAGAATGTATGAAAAAGCATACCAAAAGCCTTATTCTAAGGTGCTATAAAAACATTTAGTATCATTATTAATATTATTACTACTATTATTAATAAGGGAAAATATGAGAGAGGACTGCACTGCTTACATTAGTGTTCTGCATGTCTAGTCCCAGCATGGAATGAATGGACTGCAGGGAAGGATGCTGGATAGCTTCTCTTGCTCTAGGTCTTCAGAGCATGGCTTTATATTGTTTTAGTTAATTCAAATAACAGACATACCCACATTCAAAGGTAAGTACCCAAAGCCAAATATAAATGTTTTGGGGATTATTTCACTTTGGATTATCCATGCCTCTGTTTCCCTCCACTGGAGCAAATATTCAAGAGCTGACTGTATATAAAGAAGTCAGAGAAAACAGAGGTATATAAGGCAAAAAGGGAAAAGTAAATTACAATCATCAGTATGCAGTCAGACATGTTGTTTGCTCACTTAAAAAACATAATGCTATCCAGCAGCAGAACTTGCTTCTCTTAGAGTAGACTCAGTAATAACTGCAATAAATATCTTAGAACCTATGGCACTCAAGGCACTATACCAGATGCTGAGGACACAAAGATAAAATATGAGTCCTGATCTCAAGCATCTTATAGTTTAGCAGATAAACCAACATATACACTGCCAACTGGAATAGCTCAAACACAGCCTATATAATATTGACACAACCCACTGACCCAGGGAATAGTTAATCTAGTTGCACTTTTTACAAAGGAGTATCACTTTAACACAGCACACACCACTGACCATAAAACAATGGTCAGAAGGTTATTTTTTCTAGATATAGGAATGACAAAACCTAAAATTAAAGGCTTACTAAAAATCAGGCATCATTTTTTAAAGTGTTGTATTCAATAAATAAAAGAAGGCAGGAGTTAATTTCTATTATCACACAAAATGTTAAAATACAACACATTTAAACTCACTTTTGTTCCAGGAGGCAACCCTTCCAGTTGTTTAGGTTTTATAAATGTTCTATGATGTTGAGTCTTATGATCCATTTTCTCTTTGCATGTCAAAAACTGCAGTCTGCATTTTGTACAACGATGTATTCCTTTTTTCTGTTTAAAAACAGAAAAAGGGAGGAAAAATAATTTCTACAACCACAAATATTGTGTCCTTAAACTGCTCTGATTTCATTTTAATGATACCTAAATAATTTTAAAACTAGTACTTTATATCACACATATAAATAACAGCAAAATGTTATTTCATTTTTTACATACTCTGCATTAGTATTTGGGTTTCAAAAATGTCTATTCCTATACGGAAACTGAACATAAAAGTTGTATCTGTAGGTTCTTTTTTTTTTTTTTTAATTTAATGTTATTTTTTCAGTGTTCCAAGATTCATTTTATCTGTAGGTTCTAGTGAAAGTTCTCTCAACAGTGGTGTGAAAGCTCATCTGTCATTTTAAAATGTTTAGACACATGATATGGTTAAAAAGAGCTATACTACGTTTTTATCCTAGAAAAAAGTAAATTCTTTTTAATTTTTGCTATTTCCAGTTGGTTGACAAGCTGGTAAAATAAATTCAAATATTTAACCAGACATTTCAAAAATGGTTGTTAGAGAAATGGTTGTATAAAGTAGTGCTGTCTAATGTAACTTTCTGCAATGATGAAAATGTTCTACAGCTACACTGTCCAATATGATAGCCTCTAGCCACATAGGTTATTGAGCACCTGAAATGTGCTAAGTGAAACACAGGAACGATTTTTTTATTTTATTTGACTTTAAGTAATTTTAACTTCAATAGCCACATGAACACTGAACAATGTTGATATGGAGACATAAATCAGACAACTACTGCTAATCTATTCACTGATTAAGATCCCTTGTGTGAGTCCCTCCTTAAACCCAATCCTGCTATTATTCTATAGCTGGAAAACAAGATTCAAGAAAAATCTAAATCATTCCCCAATAACTAGTCACTGGCAATGCCGACTCCTGACCCAGTTTTCTTTCTACTATATGATAGCATCTACAATCTTATTCATATGCTCTCATTAAGAAATGATATATGTATGTACATATATATATACACATACTTAAACAATACATAAATACAAAAGAATGTTTTCTCAAAAGTTACATTCTGCCAAATACATCACTACTTCCATTTAAATACACTCAATCATTTATAAAATTCGAACAAGGTAATATACTGAGAAGTACCTGGCACAGTTACTAGCATACAGCAGGCATTTCATAAATCAAAGCTCTTTACAAAATTCAAAGCAATGTATAAATATAATGGGTTTATATTACTATTCTAGTTGCATCTTAAGACTATTTTAGAAGTGTGGTACATTGGATTGTATCATAGATACAGTCAATTTTTAAAAATTCACTTATATGTGCTGAGGGAATAGGCAGAAAAAGAGAAAACTCGGCTAAGAAACAGATACTAAGGCACAGGACAGAAAGAAAGTTCTCCAGAATCCAATTCCCAGAAAGTTTTTCTCTATCTATAATCACTCCCCAGGTTACCTCATCCAGTTTCATGGCTTTAAATACGATCTATCCATCTGTCTACTTGACATCACTACCTAAGCACGAATATCAACAGGTACAAAATTGAATTCTGGATTTTCTCCCTATCTCCCTGTCCCCCCCAAATCTGTTTTCTCAGTTTTCCTCCTATGACAGTATATGAAAATTCCATTCTTGCAGCTGCTTCGGACAAACACTTGGTAGCTCACCCCATATCCAACCTATTAATAAAACCTGTCAGCTCTACCTTTGGGAACTTTCATAATCTTTCTACTCCTCATTACCTACTACTGCTGCCATACTGGTCCAAGCCACTCACCTGGACTCCTATATTCTTCCTGTCATGTTCTTTCCTCCATGTGGTCTATTCTCCCCATAGATGCCAATGATCTTAAAACAAGGCAGATTGTTCAGACACTTAAATGCTCTGATCGTTTTCTAAAGCCCTGTTCCTGGTTTACAAGGCTCTGCATGAACTGGCCTATACTTTATCACTACAAGCTTATCTCCTACTAGTTTTCCTCTTATTAGTTTACTCTGCTCTAGCCACAACTGGTCTCTTCGCTGTTCTTTGAGTGCCCCATGTATATATTTACTTCAATGCCTACAGAATATTTCTCTTCCTAGATTTCCACATGGCTTATTCCTTATTTCCTTCAGAGAGGCTCCTGTTTTACCACACCACATACATAAACAAGCAACCATTTCTCCACTCCCAACACCTCCCTGGTACTCTCTACCCTCCACATTTTCCTTCCACAGTACTATTACCAGCTAGCAAGCATATACATTCAAACATAAGTCCACATATATTTATCTTCCTCTACTATAATTCAAATTCCAGAAGGCACAAACTTTGTTTTATTTACTGCTAATATAATAGCCAAAACAGCCCCTGGCACACAGTAAGGCATGCAATAAATATTTGTTAAATAACTGGACTGTGAAGCAGAAAGCAAGAGACTGATAGAGAAAGTACAAATGAGAAGCAGGTACAATTTAACTAGTTCAAAACGTCTGCCATTCCATTCAATGAACATTTGTCCAGTCAGGAGATAGACTAATTAATCCTCTATTCTCTTAGTTGGACCTAAGTCTTAGACATGTCTCTTGTGTATGAATGCATTTCAAAGCAATAAAAGTAATAAACAGTACATTTTAAAATAACATCATGTTCAGTCAATGAAACAGTGATCTGTTCCAAGGCTAGAGGACTAATGATCTGTTTTGTACTTTTTTGATACATATACCACACTGTTTGGGAGACTCGAGGGATTTAAGAGTTAATTCTGACTATATGTAATTTTTGCCCTTAGACCTAATGTCAATGTGAAATCTGGGTCTGTGGTAAAGCAGTAAAAGCCTGGGCTCTGAAGTCAAATTTTAATTCTGCTTTTTATTAGGTAGTAGGACACTGAGCAGGCTGCTTTCTCTAAAACTTTGACTCACCTAAAAGTTAGAAATAATAGTACACATATGGTGATCGTGAAGATGATAATGCTTGTAAAGCACTTGCTGCTGCCATAAGGTAAGTAACTTCATATGCTAACTGCTTAACATTCTTACTAAAGATCTAATGAACCTATCTTACACATCTGAAATCACTTTTATTCTTTCTTAAAAGTCATACAAGGATTGTTAACTCTAAAATCACCTGAGACTTAATACAGCTTTTTTTTTTTTTTTAAGATTATTTATTTATTCATTTGACAGACAGAGATCACAGGTAGGCAGAGAGGCAGGCAGAGAGGAGGAAGCAGGCTCCCCGCCGAGCAGAGAGCCCGACGTAGCGCTCGATTCCAGGACCCTGGGATCATGACCCGAGCTGAAGGCAGAGGCTTTAACCCACTGAGCCCTTAATACAGCTTCTTAAAGGAAAGTTACAACCAAAGTTTTTGAAGACAATAAAATGAGCCATAGAACCAACAATTCTTATTGTCTAATACTGCACTAATGATGTAATCTCAACTACAAGTTTATAGTCCTACTCAGCTATGATGTTCCAGTCTTCAAAAATAATTATGCAAATTGTAAATATCTTGAAGGATGTTGATGATCCTTATTAATAGATTCCCCTCCCTTTACTCTAACTGCTTACCTTCCTAAATATTCCATATAAAAAAAAGAAAAACTGGCAACAATGGCAAGACAAGACATAAAACTCAGTGTATAAAAACCTTATAAATCACATAGCCCACATGGTGGGTCCACACATCTCTCTCATAATTATCATTCTTCCCATTTCTACATCTCACTCTGGAGCTTAGGAAAGCATGTGGGGGAAATTATGATAAAAGATCCATAATGAAACAGCACTACCATTTCATATCTCATTCTCCATTCAAATTTAAGCCCAAAGATGAAATAAAGAGTACCAAGAATAGGGTTTCCAGAACTCTATTCCTCAAAAAATGTTAATACATATTATGCAAATAAAGGGCTCATGGAATTAATAAGCACTATACCTGTTGCTTGGAGATTTACAATATTCATTAGCATATTAAAAGCTCTGAGAAGTCCTGTTTTAAAAAACAGACAAGCAAAACTGTTTGATATTGTAAGTATTTACCAAATTTCTTTCTTTTCTAGTAACTGTTTGGGGGGAAACATCTATTAACACCTGATGGAACACTGTTGGGGAAACCTAGAATAGAAAGATTTTGCCAGAACTTCTCAAAGATGAGTATCATCCCAACATCTCATCACAACATAGGAGATACTAAATTCACTTGGATAAAGAGGATAAAATTGTATTAAAAAATTCACTTGGATAATATATTTTATAAATGTATATATACATACATTTTACACACCCACAATGGGATATTAGTTATAAAAAAGAATGAAATCCTGCCATTTGTAGTGACACAGATAGAACTATAGAGTATTATGCTAACTGAAATAAGTCAGAGAAAGGTAATTACTATATGATTCACTCATATGTAGAATTTAAGAAACAAAACAAGCAAACATAGAGGGGGTAGGGGGAAAGAGAGGCAAACTAAGAATCAGACCCCTAACTGTAGAGAACAAACTGATGTTTACAGGAGGGGAGGTGCCCAGGAGGATGGGTTAGATAGCAATGGGGATAAAGGAGAGCACTTGTAATGAACACTGGGTATTTTATATAAGTGTTGAGTCACAAAATTCTACACTGAAAACTAATATTACACTTTATGTTAACTAACTGGAATTTAAATAAAAATGTAAAAAAAATTTCACTTGGAAATTCTACTTTTATGATCTTTCCAAGTTAAATACCACAACCTGATTTCATGATAATCGAATGATTAGAACTGAAAGCAAAGTGAGCACCAATCAGAATGTGAATTTCATCAATAATAAAAAAATGCAATGAGCTGATTAGGGAGGAGGCAAAACTTGATTACATGATCAGATTCAGTAAATCCAGTGACTTCTGATTTTGGCAAAGACACTTGTTGAGGGCGCCTGGGTGGCTCAGTTGGTTAAGCGGCTGCCTTTGGCTTAGGTCATGACCCCAGGTTCCTGGGATTGAACCCCATATGGGGCTCCCTGCTCATCAGAGAGCCTGCTTCTCCCTCTCCCTCTGCCTGCCACTCTGCCTACTTGTGCTCTTTCTCTCTCTCTCTGAAAAAATAAATAAAATCTTTAAAAAACAAAACAAAACACTGTTGTTGCTCTTTCAAGCACACTTAAGAATAGGATCAGTGGTACATAAAAGTTTTCAGCCCAAACAAAGGATGGTTTAATTGCTCCAGGAAAAGAACAGTAAACATAACATCAGAATTCAAGAGAAGGGTGTTAAGTGCTAATACTGATGCAGTATAATATAATAATATAATATAATGTAAGTGCAAAAATTTATATAGCAAAACTAGCAGAATTCATCCACAAAACAGGTGATGACCTAAATACAGTTCTTTGGCAGAGTTCATATACCAAGCAGTAAGTGTCATTACTGTTTCCTTTATTACTGGTAGCTATAAAAGACCACGTCTGGTCAAAGATAACATTTATTCTCATCATAAAGGAGATAATAAATGGAAATTAGGTTGGAAGGAAAACAAGATTATGAATCCTCAATCTTTTCTTATTAGTTCAAGCTCACATTTACCCTGATAACTACCTTTAAAATCATTCCCATGCCCACTCTTGGACCCTGAAATATCCAATTTTATGGGTATTCCACTCATCTACCCTTTTCCCCTTCAATCCTCGGTTTCCAGTTTCTAGCTATCTTTCAAAATTTTCACTTGTGAGCCACAACATCACCAGAAAGGAAGCAAGGAAAAGAAGTGAAGTTTTATAAGTAATTCAGCATAAATTCCAAATTAATTATGTCATTTGGAAAATCTTGCTTCCTTTGCAGAACAAATCTAACTAATGTCCTAAGTAATAATCTTTTTGCTAAAACAACATGAACAAATAAGAACTGGTAAATCTCACCTGATGCTTCATATAATGATGCATGTAGGGTGTTGCAATTTTAATAACTTTGAGGCAAAATGGACATAGCAAGTTCTTAGTGTTTTCGTGGGATGTTCTAAAATGAGTTTCTACATCAGAAAATGATGATGATCTGTAATTGCAAACCTACAAATAAAGAAAGTTTAGTTTAACTTGAAAATGTATGATATGCAATTACAAAGTAACAATGATAACGTCATTTGTTTAGAAGAACATCAACTATTTCTCATTCAGTTCTGATACCTACATAACCAAGAATCTCATTAATGTAAGCACCAAAAGATAATCTTTGAGACAGAAAAGTTATCTGTCAAAGTTTAGGGATACTTCCCAAAACATAACTAGGCTCCCTTCTTTTTATCAGATCTTTTTATTTACCACCCCCAACTTAACTTGAATTTTCATGCTTTAACACCTCTTGTTCTGTAAAGTTTTCTTTCTTTCGTCATAAAACAGCACCTTCCTTTAGATTATAAGTGGCCTCCAAGCTATGGCATTGCCATGTATTTTTATCTTCTTTTTCTATTTCTTCTTCAAATTCCGAAAAAATGCTAATCCCACAGCAACTGGTAGGGTTCTCTGTAACGAAAAGCATTTCGTACTTCCCTTGTATGCCTACATTCTCCCCTATATGGTAAAATAAGTCCCTATGCTTGTCTTACTGCCACAGGGCTTTTCTTTGTCCAATCACGAGTAAGTATAAAATGGCCTATGGGCCAATTTCAACTCTCTGCTGATCCCACAGATAATACATGAGTTTTGCCAATGGTTTTTTTTTTTAATTAATAAATAGTTTATAAGAGGAATTTTAATTTTAGTAACCAATTTTATCTAAATGGTTAGGAAAATAAAAGAATATATTTCATGGCTCTTGAAAATTATGTGAAATTCAGATTCCAGTGTCCATAGCTATTTTTTTTAATTCTTATTGTGTTTTGTTAGATACCATACAGTATATCATTAGCGCATAGATAGAGTTTAAATAAATAAACACAGAGCTGGATCACATCTATTTACTTGTTGTCTATGGCAGCCTTTGTGCTACAATGGCACAGCTGATTGTTGTAACACAGACTATATGACCCTCAAAGCCTGAGGAGCTTTTCAGAAATCTGGTGCTTTACAGAAAAAATTTGCTGGCCTCTGGGTCCCAGTAGGTTTAAATCTGAAAATCAAGACAACAGAAACAAACAAACACTAAGTAAACAATAAAATATGTGTATACCTGGCAAATATATGGCATTTCCCCAGGCTTATGATTGTCCTTCATATGTTGTAAAAGAATATGCTCCGTTTCAAATGATAATTCACAGATTTTGCAAATGGCTAAAAGTGGGGAGGAGAAAGACATTACACCATTTTAAGATACAGATACAGACATACACACACACACACAAATATCAAAGTATGTTATATAACTGAAACTATATGTCACTTACACCTCAATAAAAAAAAAGTATCTTCACCAGGCAAACAAAACATATATATATATATATATATATATATTCATTTTATATATCTATATCAACAAAAATAACAATAGTATTGGTGGTGATAAACAACAGTTACACAGTTTTTTTTTGTTTTGTTTTGTTTTTTATTTTTTTTTTAAAGATTTTATTTATTTATTTGACAGAGAGATCACAAGCAGGCAGAGAGGCAGGCAGAGAGAGAGGGGGAGGAAGCAGGCTCCCTGCTGAGCAGAGAGCCCGATGCGGGGCTCGATCCCAGGACTCCGAGATCATGACCTGAGCTGAAGGCAGCGGCTTAACCCACTGAGCCACCCAGGCGCCCCCAGTTACACAGTTTTTAACTGTATGCCTAACACAGTTCTAAGAACTTTACTTACATTAGCTTATTTAATTCCCATAACACATTATGAAGCAGATATTTCTATTATCTCCACTATTCAAATATTAAGTAACTTGCCTGAGATCACATAGCTGTATTAAGAGGCAGATCTGGGATTTGAACTCAAGCTATCTAGCTCCAAAATATGTGATTTTTAACTATGACTGTAGTTACTTTCCTTACTCAAGTTTAAAAGAAGAGCATTAATTTCCTATTTGAAAATAATGATCTGAAGTTTTTAATTTAGTTCCCCACCTATAATGCACAGGTTATTTACTTTAATGAATTATTTATAAGAGGGACTTTAATTTTAATGACTTGTTTTAAAAATTTAGTTAAAACTTTTCCCAAAATTCCAAAGTCTTTTTCTTAGTCTTATGTTTCTAACAAGAATCTTTCTCAGAGTTTACATTATCAAAACTGATAATATCCAATACTTAAGTAGAAGTGTAACTTACTAGAAAATTCATGGGGCGTATGTGTGCTCTCAATGTGACACTGCAGTTGAAATGGTGTGGGAAACTGACGATAGCAGTGCTGGCAGGTGGTGTGGTTTTCCCAGCTCTCACTGCTCTGCTTCTCAAGTTCCAAATGGTGTTTCATGTGGTTCATAAACCTATAAATGATTGCCAACAGGTGCAAAAGTTCAGATTTGAAAACAAAAAGCTAACAAATAAGTATCTGAGTCTAAATCTTAAAACTATAGATATATTATTCAAAATAAAATCTCAAAAGCCTTAAAAACCTCTAGAAAACCATGTGTTTTAAATAATCACTTTCAATTAAGTGGCTAAATATAAACATCTTTGCTTTAGAAGAATTCATCAATGTAATTAATCTGAAATATCACTAATTTGTTCAAATTCTTAATCATTTCAGATTATTAAAATGTTTTTTAAAGATAAAAAAACAGGGTATTTTTCCATACATGAATACTATTTACATTTTTAAATAAAATACTTCAAAGGAAGGAAACCCTACCACCAAAAGCAGCTACAATCATAAGAGAAATCTTTTAGGGCCATGAAGATATACAATAGATTCCAGCTGTTTAAAAGACAAATTACTGGTATTTTTACTTGTGTCTTGGTTTCTAAATGCCTGTAATAGCAATTTTAATGCCTACAATTACAAGAACCTTTTGTTTTATTTAACGATACTGGTTCTCTGTAAGCACAGACTGTTCATTTTAACTTGCAGACTGTGCCCTTTGTAGGCAATGTCCATTTTTCAGTTTTACATTCTGCTATTTCAGCTTCCTTAAAAGGCTTCTTATGAGCAGGAACTATGACCTTCAACAGCAAAGAGTGCAATATAAATGGGAATACCTATTTAAACGAGCTTACTGAAGCTTTTTGCTGAATTTGAAAGTAAAGTTGTAACAATTTTTAGTCTGGGTCAACTATTAACAATTATTCACTTTAGCCCAGAAAGGAAAGAATCTTGAAAGTGATAATGTCATCAATCTGGATAGCAGTCACCATGAAGGCTATAACGTTTATCTATCTTTCACACCTCCACAGTAGTACTTCTCTTGAACAGGTTATGGTACACTTTGAAATATCTTTTTGTCCTCCCTTGGTTTTAACACCAACTCTACAAACACCTACAGAAAATCTTAGTATTGGCTAAATATTTATATAGAGAAAAAAGGTCACGAGCCATTAAACTTTCAGCTCACAACTTTAAGCAATTAAAGTGTATCTATATAAAATAATCTCTTAACTAGCAAGCTTTCTCACAATTATATGGGCCCACATTGGGAATGTAAGCTACTTAAACCAACAGGTGGAAATGAAGGAAACATAAAAGCAAACTTCTTAAAATGATGTTCACAGAATAAAATCAACCTAACTGTTTTTGGTGATATTCAATGTAGGAGGAAAAAAAATATCATACCACAATATGCTGACAAGGCAGAGAGTAAAAATCTATAGCTATCAGTTTTCTACCATTCTGTACAAACACCATTCAATTTGTCTTTCCAGTTTTTACTGTTTAACATATATAACTTCTTTGGTTACAAAGTATTTACCATTTACCATTAATTTACCATTAAGATTATGTTTCCTAAACAATCAGTATTTCAAAAATGCTCAATTCCAGGATGTTATAAATGCTGTTTGCTTTAAATTTTGAAATATCCAGGTACTCTAGAAATATATAACTACTCTTCTAAAATAATAACAAAAAAGGAATTTAATTTTCATATGTTTAATATTAAGTGGGCTAGTCTCAAAGGAAAAGCCAAAAGCTATTGCTGAAATAACTTCTAATATATACATATTTAAATATAACAAGGAACTAAGTCAGTGAAACATATTTCTATGCTATCACCATATTTACTAACATGATTTTTCTGGTGTATTTTACTATGAATATGGAAAAAGGTGACATAGAGTTCCATTGTAATATTATTTCAGTGTTATATCACAAAGTACAATATCCCTTCTGTTAAATTATTTAACTATTGATGGCTGTTAAAGTTTAAAGGAGATAAAGAAATATGAGGACTCATATGAAATAACAATTTCATTGTGAAACAATTTGGAAACTATAAAGCATTACCATGAACAAAGCTTTAATAATTGTTACAGGAGTATATCACAATGTATTTCAGGGTTTTTCTGTATGCTTCTTTTTGGACCCAATAACTCACAAGAAAATGAAATAAATACTGCATCCAGAAGTACCCTACAGGTACCTAAGAATGCTATTTACAAAGTTAACAAAGACAAACATAAAAAGGCATAGATATGTATGTTTCCACAAACATACACACTCATCTAAGGGCAGTATAATGGTGTCTGCAACTTACTTTGAAAGGCATAAGAAAAAACTAGCTTAAAGGAAGAATGAACAGATATATGATAAAGCAAGGATAGTAAAATGGTAATGGCAGAATCTAGGTGATAAGCATACAAGTTATCTGCTGTAAAATTTTTTAAACTTTGCTGCATGTCTGAACATTTTTATTATAAAATGATATAAAAACAATCTTACCTAATATAAATGTCAAGCTATATAACTACTGAAAAATATCAATCGGTATGTCTTGTTACCTTGTTCTTGTTGCACACTCACTTATAGGATAACAGTTACTAATATGCCATGTAACTCAAAGATCACAAAGTAAAGTTCCTAAAATTTAAAGCATACATGTATAAAATTCAAAATTCCACTGGAAATTAAATTTCTAATTTTTAATGGGGTTAAATTTTAAAATCAAAGCAGACCTGTTTCTAGAACTGGTACTTCTCTAAAGAAGATCACTTTTCCTGCAAGGGAAATGTTCTAAAAATTATAAATCTGAATTACAAGACTTGAGCATTAAATAAGATTAGTATGGAGAAGGTAAAACTGGAATACTAAAGTGGTTCTTCTTGTGAAGAAAAATAAAATTCAAACGCAGCTAAACACGAAATAATCTCATGAAAATTCCTAAAACAGTGATAATATAGAGGAAAAGTTAATTTCCCCTTATTTGAAATGAAGTTTGTCCTTTCTTAAGTTATCTTAAACAAATACAACTAAGTAAATCCCGGCATCAACTCTAAATTACAAGAAAGAACAAAAGCTTTTCAACAGGACAATCTGCCTTTGTCCTTAGTAGAAAGAATTAAAATTGTTTATCTAGAATGACACAGGAAAATATAAGATAAAGATAAAACATTTATATCTATGGCATTCCAATTTTCAAAGAGAAATGAAAGTATTTACATACCTAATATTATTTTTAAGAATTTTCAAGCAACTGAAGCATTTAAAAGTTGTGTGAGTCTTCTGTTCTTCCTGGGCATCTCCTTCATGTTTTCCATAATAAAAGTCATTAACTAACATGATCAATTTTCCTTTCTCTGAATCAACAGTCTTGTTTTTATTTGCTGTACTTGAAAATTCTGTTTTAGCCAGTCCTAAAAAGTTATTTATCATGTCTGGACAACAGTACTGAAAGAGAAAAAAAAGTTGTTTTATTTATCCCTTAAAAAAATTAGATTACCAAAAAACAATTCTGTTTACAACTAAAGTCAGATCATGTAAAACTATGCTTGGTAATATGTCAGGAAAAATATTAATTTACAAGTATGTGGTATATACTCACACTCTAAATAACAATAAACACAAATTATCTTCCTATTATCTTAAAAATCAAAACTTTTTAAAAAAAAACAAAATTTTTTAAAAGAGTAACCCTAAAACTAGGACTTGGCTATTGATCTAATAGTTTTTTTCCCTTGCAATTTATCTTTTATGTTTAACTAAATTAAACTCATTCATTTCATATCCATGTCTAGATAGAGCATTGAAACGAAATGTAGTTTTACATGCCATAATGTGTATGTTTAACTATCAAGTGATACATGAAATTTCATATCTAGTTAGAACTAAAAACTGAACACAACTAATTTACCATTGCCCAGATGCAACGTGCTAGAAAATGTGTGAGGAGAAAAAAGATCTTTAACAATTCTTTAAAAATTAGTTACATCTTGAAAAATTCTACAGTTACACCTTGAAATCTAGATCCTTAAATATTTGAAGGGGAAATTTAATTCCTCATGAATAAAATCAAGATGTCACATAAACTGGTTCTAATGTGGAATACTTTCATACGTGAGCTTTTTTTTTTTTCAACAAGACATAATTAATTCATTTATTGTACATTATTTTCAGTTGTAGAATTTCTCTAAGGCAGTTTTTCTCAAAGGCCAGTCCAAAGAAGACCTGCATGAGAAAAACCAGAAGTATTTGTCAAAATGCTAATTCCTGGGCCCACTTCAGACTCATAAACTACATTATCTAGATACAGGGCCCAGAAACCTTTATTTTTCAACAAGCCACCCAGGTAATTCTTTTATAACATACACCAGCTGACTTAAACTCTTTCTAAATGTGTTATTTAGTAAATTAGTAACAACATTAAAAAGTTGAAACTCTAACAGAATTCTATTCCTTTTTTTTTTTAACCCAATTAGCCAAGATATAGGACATCATTACTTTTTGATACAATGTTCAATGATTCATTAGTTGAATATAACACCCAGTGCTCATCATATCACGCACCCTCTTTAATTTCCATCACCCAGTTACCCCATCCCCCCCCCGACCTCCCTTTCCCCAACCTTCAGTTCATTTCCCAGAGTCAAGAGTCTCATACAGATTGTCCCCCTCAATTTCTAAGATAACATCCATTTCCTCTCCTGCCACACATAAATGTTAGATCATTGGTAAAATGGTCTGTATCACATGGGAAGCTAGGTCTTTGATCCAAGACAGACCTATTAACATTTCAATTGCATTTATTTTGTTCACTTGTCAATTCTGAAACCTTTAGGGGAAAAAACACCAAGAAAAAAATAGAAAATAGATCTAAAAGGGGAAAAAATCTGAATAAAATGAGCCCACAAATAGTGACATAATCTGCGTTTGGGAGTTAAGGTTGCATCTATAAGCTAAATAAGGATAAATACATTAGGTTCCTAATACTACATGATCCTCTGAGGCCAATCACTCAATACATACAGATGAAATGATACCACAACGAAAAGAGGGAAATGAGAAGTTTCTAGATACTTCTTGGGACACATGTAATATTTAAGAGTTCAACCTTAGGAAAGTCCGACTATTTTAAAGGACTATTATAAGGCAAAGTTCCTTCTAGAACATGCTGGTTTTGAATTTAAGGATAAGTGGAGAAAAGGATGGTTCAGAGTAAATACATCAGCACTATCAGAAAAATAACTCAAAATTCATGTCTTACTACAAATGATGTATACTCGTAGTTTCATTTTGATAGAAAAAAATCCCTGACGGTATGTGCAATTTTACCACACCAGTGATCTCAAACAACGAGAAACATTATAATGCACAAAAATGATTTAATAATAGAATACTGTCCCTAATTAGAAATGTGGACAATTATATATATTCAAACATTAAATCTGGTTTTCACACTGTAGAAGTTATTGAGTCATATTTGAGACTTGATTCTTTTCTGAAATCTACAAAATAACCTAAGTAGTCTATAGTAGAGTGTGCTACAAGGTTATATTTTTCAGAAACATCTAATTTGGTACATCTATAAAAGTTAAAGTTACCTTAAATGCTCATAAATTATAATATACATAACAGATGATCAATTGCTAGCGGTTTTTTCATTTTGTTTTTTTTTTTAATAAAAGAGATGAGAACATGTTTTAAAAATAAACATACAAATCTTAACATATTTTTTTTTTTGGACAGTTGACACACAATGCTACATTACTTTTATTCACAGTATCTTTTAAGCAATGTTTTGGATCCCTATAAGAGAGAGAAGCAATAAACCACTGAAAACCAAGAATGGACAACCAAGTTCAGGAAATTTAGTAATTGAGAGAAAAGCAAAGAACCCCAAAGAAAGTATCTTTTTTTCAGTCTTAAAACCCTTTTGGGTCTAGCCCTTCACTGTAGCCCTAGATTATCCCTTATTTTCCTGGGGACAGAATATTAATACTTTAAAGCCATATATTGTAATTTGACAAACAGCAGATACCACCTAAATAACATTCTCATCTTCACCCCTCCCAGCAGAGATACCATGTTCTATTGCTTTGTTTGTGTCTAAAATTTAGGTTAGGTTTTCAGAACAAAGAAAGTGGGATGTTATTTTTAAATAGTAAAAAAGAAGTTCCCATATGATCAGCCTACATAAGTCAACATTTTCCCCTTCTCCTGCTGGGACTCATCCAAAGCCACAACAACCAAATTCTAAAAATTTATTTTCATTGAAACTAAGAGCCAGATAAAATCCACAGACTCTACAACATATGACAGCACTACCCAAAGCAGCCAAGCTCAGACAGAAGACATGTAGTTGGAAGCAGATCAGAGAAGTCAAATGGACCCAACAGTAACAGATCTTAGAAAGTCTCAGCAAAAATTTGCATTCTAAAGGTGAAAGACACATCCTGAAGTGCAAAGCTACATACTTTGTTTATAAAAACAGGTACAGAAGCTGGGGCAAGAAGGATCCCACAAGTCCCCCAGACTTCATTTCGTACTGAGAAGCAAATTAGGCAATGCTACATATAAAAATCAGACACACAAGTCACATTTACAGAAAGCCTTCTGCCCAGCAAAGAGGTGTATAAACCAGTTAGTAGGATATAAGATTATCCTGGCAATCCTTCCTAAAATGAGCCTTGTACGAAAGAGTTAGCCCAAGAAAATCCAACTTGCTCTTCACTATGATTGAAACTTACATCTAAACAAAAATAAGATAAAAGGAGGAAAATGTAAAATTCTGACAAAAACACCATGGAGCAGTTGCAGATGAAAATAGTAGCCAAAATTTTTGCTACAAATTTTTAAAAACTTAATGAAGTAACTGTGTCTATTTGGAAAACCACAAAGCAACAAGAGATGGCAAGACAAAAGAGATCTTAAAAAGGAGTGGCAAAATTGAGAGAGGTAGAGAAATCAGAGCGATAAAGACAGAAAGGAGAACAATGGTGAACAGGCATTGGAAAATAAAATGAAGGACACAAAGGCTGATAATGACAAAAGCAAATAAAGAAAATTTAAGTGCTAAAAGGATTAGAAAGAAAATGACAGATATGCCAGACAAAGGACATCAAACGAATGCATACTGGACAACATTCTCCCCTCCCACAAAAAGACAAAACAATAGTATGGGATTAATATTTTAAAATATGAATATGAATCAAGAAAACCACACTAAAAGACACAAACATACACTAAAATAAAGACACATACAAGCAGAAAGAGCATGTTATATATCAGAGAAGACTGACCCAAACCCCAACACCAACTCAGTCATTATAAAATTATCAGTCTTCCAAAATAAAGAATCGTATGAACAGCTAGGCAAAAAGATCAAATCACTTATAAAGAGCAAAATAATTCAGGCTTATCCCAGATTTCTCAACAGCAATATTCAATATTATAAAACAGAACCACCACAAACAAGATCCTCAAAGTAGGATCCAATTTACTTTATATCCTTTTAATTTTTTTAAATTTAAATTCAATTAATTAACATATAATGTGTTACTGGTTTCTGAGGTAGAGGTCAGTGATTCATCAATCTTATATAACACCCAGTGCTCATTACATCACAGGCCCTCCTTAATGTCCAGCATCCAGATATCCCATCACCCCACCCCTCTCCCCTCCAGCAAGCCTCAAGTCGTTTCCTATGATCCTAAGAATCTCTTGGGGCACCTGGGTGGCTCAGTTGGTTAAGCCTCTGCCTTCGGCTCAGGTCATGATCTCAGGGTCCTGGGATCGAGTCCCACATCGGGCTCCCTGCTGAGCAGGGAACCTGCTTCTCTTTCCACCTCTGCCTGCCACTCTGCCTGCTTATGTGCTCGCTTTCTCTCCCTCTCTCTCTCTCTCTCTCCTTCTCTGACAAATAAATAAATAAAATCTTAAAAAAAATAATAATCTCTTATGATTTGTCTCTTATTTTTCCCACTCTAACCCTATGATATTCTAGTTTTATTCCCTAAATTCTTAAATTCACATGTAATTGAGGACATATAACAATTGTTTTGCCCTGATTGACTTATTTCACTTAGCATAATAATATACAATAGTTCTATCCACGTCCTTGCAAATGGCAAAATTTAATTTTTTAATGGCTGTGTGGTATTCCATTGTGTGATGTGTATGTACACACACACACACACACACACACACACACCACACCACACATCACATCTTCTTTATCCATCTGTTGTTGGACATCTGGGCTCTTTCCATAGTTTGGCTATTGTGGACATTGCTGCTATAAACACTGTGGTGCAGGTGCCCCTCAGGATCACTACATTTGTATCTTTGGAAAATCCCTACTCGTGCAATTGTTGGGTTGTGCAATAGCTCTATTTTCAACTTTTTGAGGAACCTCCATACTGTTTTCCAGAGTAGCTGCAGCAGCTTGCATT